CTTACAGTATGGTCTTTCAAGCTCTAGGCTATGCAGAAGTTCACACTTTACATTAAATAGGCCTGCAGTGGACACTTGCATCTTGCGCTGAATAAATGCATGGAGCAGAGGCATACTCTGTCTGCTTTTCAAAGGTTCCTAATCACACAGAATGAACAATGTCTGTTCATACTGTATGTGTGTGCCAATATTCAAGTGAACCTACACATAGGCTGGGGATAAGAAATGCCACTTAAATCCCTACCCCTTGCACACAACCACTTTTCACAGTTTGCACTTCTTCGTAGAATTTCTGTACCTCATATTTGTATCGTATATTACCATTCCATCTGAATTCAAGAAGTGAAATTGCGTCACTTCTCAGTCTCTGAGCAGATTTTGATCTCATTTGCTACAGTATACACCTGGACCATCCCTATGATTTGGGAGTTGGAGGCACTGTTTTACAGCACAGAATGCTGTTGGTTGGAGGAGGTCTAATCGGGTGAAACCAAATCCTGATAAAGCAGTTCCTATTAGGTTATTAATGAGTAAGTTTTAGGAATTATATTGTTTATCTGAACTGAACAAGGTTGTTCTGCAAGGCCAGGAATATAGTTTAGGGGATGATCCTGAATCTTGGTTATAACACAGCTTACCTGAGCCAGCTTAAAATTAGAAGTGGGTGGCATCCTGATAGTATCACACACATTTAGCCACCAAAATCACCACCCAGCTGCAGCCCGGCTCCATCGCTGATCCGAGGGGCACTCCTTGCACCTCTTTTCGAAGCCAGGAGTTTTCCGGCTTGAAAAAATGGCTGCTGGAGCTCCCCTCAGAGCGGTGATGGAACCGGGCTGCAGCTGGGTGGTGATTTTGGTGGCTAAATGTGTGTGATACTATCAGGATGCCACCTGCTTCTAATTTTAAGCTAGCTCAAGTAAGCTGTGTTATAACCAGGTATGATAATCTTCCATATTTGTCATTGGAAGCCCTGAAAATGTCAGTGCCTTGGCTTGCAGCAAACTCATTACTGAGTTTGGCTGGTAAGACAACTATACTTATAGCTAGCAATAAGGTATATGCTGTGGTTTATGAACTGATAACCTCTGATTAGATTACTGTAATATGCTCTGCATGGGGTTGCCGTTGTGTCTTGTTTGGAAGCTGGAAATAGTGTGGATTACAACAGTGGGGTGTTCAGTGGGTACATATGTACATATTTTGCAACTGTCTTAAAAGAACTTCACTGGTTGTCTGTTAGCTACTGAACCATGTTAACATTTCTAATGCTGACATATAAAACCATGGATATAAGTAAGGACTAGGATGCATGGAGACTGCCTTTCCCATATATGTATACAGTTGATTTCTAATTGACCTTTGTTGTTGCTGTGTACCTTCAAGTAATTTCTGACTTATGGTGACTCCAAGGCAACCCTATCATGGGATTGTCTTGGCAAGTTTCTTCAGGGGGCTGAGAGAGTGTGACTTGCCCAAGATCACCCAGTGGATTTACATGGCTATGGACGTTATCACATGGGGCAAATCTGCTGGTTAATCCACACAAATCCCAAACAAAAACTGGATTTGTGCCTCACGTTTTCACACGACGTCACACAGAAACTGGACAGAAAGTGGACAGAAACTGGTGTTATCAGAGATCTTTTGAAATTTGGTTGTTTGGAGGAAATGCAAATTTCTCTATCTGCGCATGTGCAAGAAGCTAATTTCTAGTACATTTACAGGCTTTTCTCACTTGTGTGTGAACATTAAATGCGTTTACTGTAATTTCACAATTAAGGTAATTACGTGTGAAAGCCATTTGCGGAATCAAGGTTTATTTTCGGTTTATTTTCAGAATGCCTCATTTCCACTTTATTATCGCTTTCTGGCCCACGTGTGATAACGTCCTAAGTTGGGATTCAAACCCTGGTTTCCAGAATCATAGTCCAGTGCTCAAATCATTACATTACAATGGCCCTTGACCCACTGAACATGTCATGACCGTACCATGACAAATTGAATGCCATCATGTAATACTGTGGAAAGTGGAATTCCTCAGTAGTACTTACAGTACTCAATAGTATCTTACATACATAGGGATCCTGGAATTGTTTTTAAATGGAGAGGGCAGGCTGGCCAATGATTGTCTGGTTTTTAATGTTGACAATTGAGATCAATTTTGCTTATCGTATTTGTTATTGTTGTTGTTGCTATTTGCAATCAAGTCAGCTTTGATAATCCTATGAATGATAATCCTCTAAAAAGGAAATTCAAAAACATATACAGTAGTCCCTTGGTAACCACTGGAGTTTGGCTCCAGGACTCTCTGTGATTGTCAAAATCCGTGGCTGCTCAAGTCCCATTAAATA